TCTAAGGGGTGGGCGGAGCCTGCCATTCTGTAGGGAAACTCCTTAAACCCAAGAGAGTAAGCAACTCAAGGACTTCAGGAAGTAACTGAAACCGAATTCACTAGACCCTTCCCTCCCCAGGATTTTTATTAGCTGTAAGGATTGCTGAGGGACACTCTCAGGCCAGCTGAGCCTCCTGGACAAAGCAGAGACCTGCTGAGCTGCCAGGAAGTGGTTTGAAGCAGCTGCAGCACCTGGAAAGCATCCTCTTCAACCTGTTGAGCATCCTGCAGGCTGTGCAGTGGGCTCCAGGTCTCTGGCTTTCACGAACTGCCACCCATACTGGGGTGGGCTTTGGTGATGAAGCTGTCTTTGAGTCATTTCTGCTCTTGCAAGGAGCCCTGCGCCCACACTTTTGGGAGTAATCCCAATAAAACTCATTGGTTCACCACCTTGGATGTTGATGGCAGATCCGTACTTTGGTCTGTTGTCTCTCTGCCTAGGGTGAGTGGGTGTCTAGCATGAGTAGAGTTTGTTCATGTCCCTCCCAGGAATCAAGTCACATGATGTGAGTGGATGATGACTCTTTGGAATCTTTAGTAGGTTGTAAAGAAGTCTGGATTAGTGATGCTGATCCTTCAGGGAAGACAGGAAACTTAGGAAGGGGAGTAATACTTATGAGCCAACCCTTTTTATAATTACTCAGAGATGACTGCCCTGTTCTATCTGTATGTCACTTTCCAGACTCTTAAGACTGTTAGTAGCAGACAAGGTGGCGGAGTAAGGTGTAAGGTTGAAAAATCAAGCAATCTATGCAGTTTCATGGAGAAAACTTGAAGTCTCCAACTCAAAGAGCATGGAGGGACATTTTGAAGACACCCAGACTCTCCTGGAATAAATGATGCTCTCTTGTCATTGGAAGGTATAGGTATAGCGCTGACACATCTAGGGGACCCATCTCTAGAGTCTGTGATGGTTTTTAAGGTGCCACAATCTAGAAACACCCGAGCAGAGAGCTTCACTTGAGAGAGTAGCTGCAGGTGTGCCTGTGGACAAAAGTCTTGAATATTAATTGATACAAGAAGATGAAGCCCATCAGGGGTGGCATCCTTCTCTAGGCAGTAGTTCCTGAGCTATAGGAGAAAGCTACATGAGGTATAAACCTGGCAACATGGGTACCTTTGTTTCTCTCTGTTCTTGACTGTGGATGTGATTTGACTAGCAGCTTGAGTCCTTGCTTTGACTTCCTTGAAGTGATGAACTGAGAACCATAAGCCGAATAAACTCTGTCTTCATTAAATGGATTTTGGTCAGGGTGTTTTATTCACAGCGACTGAAACGAAACTAGAATGAGAATCTTCTCTCAGAGAGTGCAAGCTTTCGTTTTCTTCATTCGGAGGCACGGTTGCCTGTCTCTGCTTGAGGCTGGATAGTAGTCAGCCTTGGGCCTAGTTTCTCCCACCAAAGGAGCCAGCACTCTCCAAGGATGCAAGGAGTCCATGAACCCTTGGATTTTACAGGGGGGCATGCGAATGAGGCCCTTTGTGTTTTAAGGAAATGCTCCTACACTGTGCACACCTTTAAAGATAACGTTTGCTGGAATATGGCTCCAATCCTTTGACAGATGTTTCTTAGCCACAGGTCTCTAAGGCCCACCATCTGAGTGTCTGAGAGATAGGGGACACCAAGCCTGCTTTCATCCCCTGTGGCTCACAACACAGGATTCTTTGTGACCAGACGCCGTTTCCCACGTTCATCAATCGTCTGTGACCAGCTGGCTGTCCCACGATGTAATTCAGTTCTGACATCATCCACCTGGTGATAGCATCAGAGCCTACAGGTGTAGACCTCAGCTTTGCCATGGTGCGTGCCTGTGTTCTAAGCACTCGGGACAGGGGGTAAAGGCTATTAATGCGTTTAAGGTCAACCTTGGCTACATAGCAAGTTCAAAGCCAGCCTAGATGACTGGGGACCATCTGAAAAACAATATAAAAATAAAATAGAATATAAACAAACAAGAAAGCTCTCGCCTTTGCAGGACTGCCTTCTCCTTTAGATTCAGGTAGAAGCAGTACGTTTCCAGGCCACTCCTACCCTCTTTCTGACGTGGCTGTAAATACAAGGCTCTCTCAACTCTTTTGGGATTCATCTCTTGCTAGAACACTTCACAAAGGTCAAAGAAATGGTTTACAGACTCACCCACTTATTACAAAAGGATACAACTCAGAAAGAGCCAAAAGGAAGAGAGGTACAGGGCAAGATTTGGAGGAAGGTGTGCAGAGGTTCCATGCCCCATTGGGTAGATCACACTCCCAGAATGCATAGGTGTTCTTGTCTTTGCTCACCAACATGGATGCCCCTCAAGGCCCACAGTTGAGGGCTTTTGTTTTATAGAGGCTCTGTCATGCAGATATGATCAATTGCTAGCCCTGTTTCCAGTCCCCTTCACTTGCCAGGGGATGTAGGGAGAGGGTGAATGTTCTCAGCTGATGACCAGTGCCATCAGCCCACCAGAAAACAGTCCCCAGGACAAAAGAGGCTTTTATTGCCCAGAACATCCCAGGCAAAAGTTAGGAGTTCCGTGCCAGGAACTGGGTCAAAGGTGACATGTTAGGGCAGATGATGCTTCTCTATTGTTCTTGGGAAGTTATGAGCTTGGGAATTCCATCCAGGAACCGAGGACAAAGACTCGCATATTTGCTTTATTAGTAAGAGCATCACCTCCACAATACTCAGGGTTGTGCCTGCTGCAAGGGGAGGGGCTGCCTAGCTGGAACCCAAGTGCCCTTCCTCTACAGGCCATGAAACAGGTATTCAGAAGCTACTGCTGGTGACAGGCATCAGCCTGGACTGAGATGGCATCAGGACACCCGACCTCGGGGACTTAGAACACTTCCTTGTGAGGCTCACAGGTCTTAAAGCAGAAAAAGTGATGTCCTTGAGAATCGGTAAATATGGGAGGCACAAAGACTAACTTAAGAATGAATGAGGGCTTCAAGTCAAAGTTCTAGGCAAGCTGGCTTCCTTGTCAATGTGAAAGTCGTTTTTGATCCTTGTTGTATAGCTGATTATTGATAAATGACGCTTTTCTATTGCCTCCCTCCCTCTCTTCCTCCCTCTCTCCCTCTCTCCCTCCCTTCCACCACCCTTCTCGCCTCTTAATTCCTGTTGTGTAGAATGTCTAATTTTTCTGAAAGGTAACCAGTGACCGGACAGCCTTCCCTGACGCTGCTTTGGAGAAACCACCCTTTCCCTGCAACAGTTGCGATGGGGGGGGGGGGGGAGGGGTGTAACTGGTGAGTTTCTGGAAGAATCTTGCTTGGACTCATTCTCCCAAACCTCTGATGATACTCTGGGGAGGGGTCACAGGGTCTGCGCTACAGTTAAAGTCACTGCTAAGAATCCCCTCGCCTCCAAAGCCACTGGCACCTGCTTGAACCCCATCTTATCGGCTCCCGAGAAGAAGTAAAACGAAGTGTTGTTTGACCCCAGTTGCAAAGATGACCATTTTGTGTGACTGTCAGCTTGTAGGAAGGGGAGCATCAGATTGTTTAAATGTACATTTTCTGGGTCATACCCTGTCCACCAGCCAGCCCTGCTGTATGCAGAACCCTTGTTAACAGGGACTCAGCCGTGTCTGTCATCGCTCCACGTCTGCTGCGCGGGAGCTATGGAGTCGGTGTGATGGACTACAAACAGGAAAGGGGGTACAGGGAGGAAAGGGCTTCCAGTTTCTGTCATAGTTTTACAGCCCCAGGGTCAGCTTCCTCTCTGGAAAGGCGAGTGAGCAGCTGTCGCCAGCAGTCACAGCCCTGTTATCTCTGAGGGCAGGAGGCTTCGTCAAGGACAGGTGCCAGGCTTGTTTCTCAAGACAGGGAAGAAAGGATGTGGCTGCTGCCCATCTAGCTGCTTGTCCCGAGACTCTGCCTTCCTCCGCACCCCACACAGGGGGCTCCCCGGAATGTTAAACACACTATTTGTTAGGCTTTGGGCTCTCCGGTGCCCTCTTTACACTTTGCTTCAGAAAGATGCTGACTGAGGTGATTCTCATTTTCAGAGCCACTGCTCTGGCTGCACAGACTTTGGAGATTCCCAAGATTGGGTAGAATCAGTGGCTCCTGTTTTACGAGGAGCACCGTGGACCCCGTTCCAGGCCCAGCTAGGAAAGCTGCCAAGATTCGGCCTCACCCACAGAGGGCTTTAGGCTTCCCCTGCAACAGGCTTCCTCCTCTGAGAGGTTCAGGGTTTTCTGCCTGTCCTTCACCTGTCTCAACTTCATCTCAGGGCCTTGTGACACTGGAGGCTTCAGAGACCTGAGGCCCAGGATCCAAGTCTAGCAAGGGCTTTGGCATGGGCACACAGCTTTATTTGCCTATGGAACTCACACCTTACAAATAAACATCCAGCAAAGTCTAACTTCATTGAAATGCTTAGGGTGTGGACCAGGAGCCTCAATGGAGCCGGAGGACAGCCTGGGACAAGAGATGTGGGCAGGAAGTTGGCTTCTGGGGAGGGAAAGACCTAGAGGGCTGAAAGGCTGCTGTGGTTATATGATGGCAAGGACTGGAAGCAGCCCCCCCCCCCCAGGCAGCACGTGGAATCAGGGGCTGTTACCAAGAAAACTGGGGTTCCCTCTTTGGGATTCTCAGTTAAAAAATGGACTCCCAATGAAGCCTGAGGACAATTTAGTTAGCATTTGAGAGTAAAACAACAGGGCAGGCAAGCTAAAAATCCCAGCAATTGTCAGGAGCAGGGGAAATGCAAAAGAAAAAACAAAAAGGCAGAGTGTTGGGAACAGAGTGCCTAGGGATTCAGAGCACAGATCTGAGTTCCAAGGGTCCTGGATTTCAGGCTCCCATATCCTAGGGTTTCTGATTGTACAGGGACGCAGGGTTAGAACTAGAACTAGAGGCAGCTTATTAAGAAGAGCAAAGCACTCCCAAGAATGGGAGTGGGCTGGTAAGCTCAGGAAAGCACCCCCAAAGGGCTGGCTTGTGTGACATGTGACCCTAGGACATCCACACACTCGCTTGTCCTATTGCAAACATGCTCTGTCCATTAGAAGAAGCCGAGGCCCGGAAGGACTTTCAGTGCCCCTCTTCAGCTGGCTCCTGTCATATGCCAATCTTGATGTTTCAGCTCCGTCCCTTTTCTCCTGCTGCAACAGGGAAAAGCATCAGTACTGCGAAGGAGGTCCAGACCCGCACACAGCAGTCACCAACTTGCTTCACTCGACATCCGCTGCTGCCTCTGCTCCCAAGCTGCAGCTCCTCACATGCTAAAGAGCTGTAGCATGCTTGGTGGAGCATCTTCCCCCACCCCCCCAAAACATTCCGAAGTAAATATGGCAAAGGGTAATTCTGCATCTTTGTGTAATTAGGAAAAATACATGTTTGGAGTGCTGGAGAGATGACTCCGTGGTTAAGGGAACTCACTGCCCTTCCAGGGGGCCTGGGTTTGGTTCCCAACACCCACATGGTGGCTAACAACTGTCTGTAACTCTAGTTCTAGGGAATCTGACTCCCTCTTCTGGCCTTCCTCTCTCTCTCTCTCTCTCTCTCTCTCTCTCTCTCTCTCTCTCTCTCTCTCTCACACACACACACACACACACACACACGGTATACAAATATGCAGGCAAAACACCCATGCACATAAAATAAAAATAAATACATCTAAATAATGTATTTTTAAAGAAAGAAATATTCATTTTAAAGCAGGGAGCCGGGCATTTTTTCATTTTGTCTAGCAAAGCAGTTTTGAAAAGGCCATTTTACCCCAGTGCTTAGCTCCACTTTCCCAAGTATAAAGATTTCACACAGGCCCGGGAATGACAGCTTCATCTCCCCTTGTAGGTCTGTAGGGCCACAGCATCCTCCAGCTTTGGCTACTAGGACATCTAAGTGCAGGCCTTGCTGCATCCTTCCTGCTCTCGGGCTAACACCAGGGTGGCAGTGGAAGGAGTCAGGGAACCCGCTGTAAACACCAAGCAGGAATCCCAGGGCCAGCTACGCTCACTTCCCTTTCAGTAAAGCCCGGGGAAGAAGAGCAGGAGGGTGGCAGGCTACGAAGGACCATGGCTAACCTGGAGGGAAAATTCCAGCTAGGTTTTCATGTCTCGGGCTCCCGGGGCAGGGGTGTGAAAGGTTCATCGTGGGAGGGGTTTGGCTTCCTGACAAAGGGCCTGTGTTACCTGAGGGTGGTTCTGTGCAGCCCTGGCCAGGCTTTGGCTTCCTTGTGCTGTGCGGTCTCCCCAGGCCAGGACTGCAGGGTGGTACTCCAGCACCCAACGAGGCTGTTCCCCCGGAGGCCACTCCCAGAAAGGGGGCTGGAGGTTCAGGCATTCAGAAAAGATGGCTGGCTGCCCAGGAACTGGTAAGACGGGTTTGTAGGGTGGCAGCTGCCAAAAGATGCCAGGAGGCCACGGTTAGGAGAAACAATCGGGGTGGGCAGAAGGCAGTGTCTGGAACTGTACCTGGAGTCCCCTCCTCTACTTTGGGCCAGCTCCCTCACACATGCTGCCTCCAGGATGCAGGCTTGAAACCTGCCATCTTTTTGCAGTGCTGATTGGGAACCAGTTGTATCCAGAATAAAATCCAAACTTCTGAGACTCTTTCAGGGCCCAATTCTACTATAAACACTTGATACCATCTGAGAAAAAAAGTTGGGGCCCCACATATTTTCAAGCCAGGAGCATAGCTTGGAGGGTGTGTGTGTGTGGGTGGTGGTGGGGGTGTTGTTGATGAAGCAAATACCTTCCTGCTGTTGTTTAAGTCGAGACCTAAGGGTAGTCAACACGCCACTATCCAAAAATTCTCTGTAAGTGGCTGCTGCAGTTCCTGAAAGTTCACAATGCTTAGCAGCACTGCCTTCGCCAGGACACTCGAGGATTGAATCTGTTTGCTGTTCTAAAATAATTTTTTGAAGAGAGATGAGGATCCCTTGGCCTGTGTGCTATTTCTGGAATCCGCTGAGGAAGTCCTTATTTTAGAACATTTGTCTCACTTAAACTTGCAAGAGATTAAACAAGCTGGGTGTGATGGCACATGCCTGTAATGCTAACACCTGGGAGACTGAGCCCAGAGAAAGGAGAGTTTGAGGCCAGCATGGGCTACGCGAGGGGTGCACCCACACACTGAGACAATGGGGATGTTTTATCGGGAACTCACCAAGGCCAGCTGGTCTGGGTCTGAAAAAGCCTGGGTTAAAACTGGTCTCGCTGAACATAGCGGACAATGAGGACTACTGAGACCTCAAGAACAATGGCAATGGGTTTTTGTTCCTACTGCACGTATTGGCTTTGTGGGAGCCTAGGCAGTTTGGATGCTCAGCTTACTAGACCTGGATGGAGGTGGGTGGTCCTTGGACTTCCCACAGGGCAGGGAACCCTGATTGCTCTTTGGGCTGACGAGGGAGGGGGACTTGNNGGGAGGCGGCGGTGGGGAAGAGACAGAAATCTTTAATAAATAAATAAAAAAATAAAAAAATAAAAAAAATAAAATACTTACTGAAAGAAAAAAAAAAGAAAAAGAAATGGCTGCCACAGAGCAGCGTTGGGTTCTGGGGAAGTAAGTTATTGTTTGTGAGAGAAACTACATCACATGCCTTAGCCAGATCTTTCCTGCCGCCTCCCTACCACGTTTTCCCAGACTCTCTGGAGGGGAGAGCTGAGGCAGCCTGCTTGGGGTATCCCATGTTCCATCCTTCCGTCCTCCACAGAGTCTCACCGACCTGCACCAGGCCGAACATTATTCTCTCTTTCCTCGCTGGAGGAAAGTCCCTGTGGCCCATTTTCTGAGTGGTGCTTTTCCACTCTTTCATAATCTCTCACTGTGACCTTGAGAGGCAGGGAGGGAAGGCTTTGGCAGGGCACCCTTTGTGTGCAGCCAGAGCCCTGGTATCTATGCCTCGGTGTCATACTGTGGCTGTGGTCAACATCCTACATCCTTGTGTGTTGGCACCTGCATCCGGGTGTGAACAGCTGCGTGTGTGTGTGTGTGTGTGTGTGCGTGCGCGCGCGCGCGGTGCATTATTAGAGAAAGGCGTTGAAAGGAGGGATGGAGGAAAAGAGAGAACACAGAATCAGGTGACTTTTCTAGGCCTGCCTGGTGGATCTGATCCTCACCGAAGTCAGCGATAAGCACTGGGCACCCCGTGCACAGAGTCCGTTCTTGCATGAAGATAGTGATGCTTGGAGAACAGAAGGACTCATTGCTGTGTCTGGAAGAAGGAAGCCAAAATGGGGAGGACACCCCATGGTCAGGTCACCAGCCTTGGGACTCAGAGCAGGAGGGATGGGCTTCACTCTAGGGAGAGGCTGCTCTCACTGCCCTCTCTCTGCACCTTCTTCTCTCCTCACCCTGGTCAGTGTGGCAGAGATTTTGCCAGCCAACTTCATCAGACGAAATGAAGGGGAAATCTGATTTGCCTCTAATTGGACTTACTGCAGGCAATTGGGTTAAGCTGGCATGAGGGGGTTGCCAGATAGGGGGGTTTTCAGGGCTTTTTAGCACAGTCCTGGGAAATTCTGCTAGAACTCAAGTTGTTGTAAATCAGGACACTTGACCACAGCATTAACATTTTAAACGAGAGCGTTTTTCTGAAAATAACCAGTATATGAGCTGATATATATTATGTACATATATGTATATCATATACATTTATATATTGTAGATAGATGCCACATGTTATATGGCATGTGTTGTATATCTTCTAACTATACACTATTGTTTGTGTAACTATTGAGGGTAAGATACTCATATACACATATATTCTGCATATATAGTATACATAGGATTAGAAAGGTAGCTCAGTACAGAGTGCTTGATTAGCAAGTGAAAGATCCTGAGTTCAAGTACCAGCACTGAAAAAATAAGAAAAAAAAAGATGCCATGTACCTATGTGTACACACACATGCACATACACACACATACGCACATGTACATACACATGCATGCTATACACGTGGTGTGTATACTAGATATATGGTATATATAGTATGTGGTATAAAGTATTTCTTGAGATAGGGTCTCTTCATTAAACCTGGAGATTGCTGATTTATCTGGGCTGGAGGTCTTCAGGCTCCAGGAATATTCCTGTCTTCCTACTACCACTGGGGTTGCAGCTATATCTCCACACAGGCGCTTGGGGTGGAACTCAGGTCTGCATGTTTGCACAGACATCGCTTTGCAAAGTGAGACATCTCCCCAGTCCCAGGGCCACTACCATTCAGCATTCAACAGGTCTTGTTTGCTTGTTATGGGGACAGTAGTGTGGATGCTTCAGATCGAGTGTGTGTGTGTGTGTGTATGTGTGTGTGTGTGTGTGTGTGCGCGCGCGCGCACGCGCATGCTGGTGTAACACCAGCAACTCACAGTGCTGTAGTTCTTAGGCCACATAAATAAATCTTCCCCTCCCCCAGGACAGAGCCTGCCACCTGCTTTCCTTACAGCAACTGCCATTTCTGTTTCCATTTCTGGTGCCCAGTGACCTCGAAGAGAGCTGTTGAGGAGAAACACACAGACACATGGTCTTTATCAGCTGGTGGGAAGCTGCTTAGACACAGTGTGGCCCCAGTGTTTCTGGTGATAAATGCAGTCTCCTCGGTGACAGTGGTTCCCTTTGGATATGTTAAGAAAGACATAGTTCCTACTATAAACTATTTTCTGCACTCACCCACTCCAGCAGAGACCCTGTATTGAGACTTGCAATTCTGCTTGCTCAGGGCTAGGCTTATTTTGTGAGACAGGTCCTTCATTGCTATTATCTCTCAATAGACTTACTAACTGCTGTGACTCCAAGGTGTGTAGATCCTCCCAACGGAGCCAGGGACATGGGGAACAGGGCATAGCAGGGCAGCCTCAACTCTTTCAGTTCTGAAGTGGACTGTTATCTAGAGCCAGGTAACTTTTGTTCTGTTATGGGGCAGGTGGTTCCTTCAAACAGGTCCCAGTAAATCTGCGTACAGAGGTGCTGGGTGGTCCCATCTGGACAAGTAACCATTGGTGCATGAACACCATGCTTACCCTAAAGAGCAATACAAGAGTGACCAATAAGCTTACTGGGTTACCAAAAAGGGAAGAAAAGACAAGTGTTGGGAGGAGGACTTGTTGAAGGGATATGGGGGAAGGAGGTGAAGAAGGGAAATGTGTGGATATGGTCATATTTCTTTGAATACATGCATGAAATGCTCAAGAATAAAGAAAAATCCTATGTGTGCATACCTAATAGACCCAACTATAAATTAGGAAAAGCGAGAATTGTCTTATAACAAGTTCATACTCCTAACAGCTACCCCTTCCCCATGGTGTGGACACTAAAGTACACACTTCTTACTAGACCCTGTCTTCCAGTGCTCTCGTGGGATTGATTGTTTCCAATATGTGAACTTGGGGACACAGCCACTCTGTGACAACACTGTCTTGTCCTTCCATTCATCAATCTGTGTGTTCAACACTAGCCAGCAAAGGGACCTCTCCTGGTCTTTTGCTCCCAGCCTGCTCTGCAGCTCTGCAGCATCCCCTGCCCCGTCACTAGTGAGACCCTTATTAGCAGTGAACGGTATCCCGCCGCCTGCTTCCCACCTGGGCTCACTCATCCCAAGCCTAGTTTTTGGATCCTGAGCAAAGTCACTCCTCAGTTTTGCTAGATTGTTAACACACAGTCATCCTCTTGTATTCACGGGGAGTTGGTTCCAGGACCCCTGGGGATACAAAAATCTATAGGAGCTCAAGCACTATGAATAAAAAGTGGTGTGCTTACACAGACTCCGTTACTCCTCCTGCGCTTAAGCTTTATCTGCATTATATATAATATCTGTCACAATGTGGATAGATGTTATTTGTTTAAGGAATAACGACAAGGAAAAAGTCATTACATGTTCAGTATATGCACAATTTTTTGAGTATCTTTCAACATGGGGTTAGCTGAAGTCACAGATATGAAACTCATAGACATAAAGAGTCAACTCTGTCTCTGTGTGTGTGTGTGTGTGTCCAGTGGTTGTCAGCCTGGTTAGCAGCAGGGAGCAGATCAACATGCACGCAGAAAGGATCATGCATGTTACAAGCTTGCAGGTGGTGGGCGTTCAGCTCAGTCGTGTATAAGCTCTTACTGTATTTCCTCCCATGAGGTGAACGTGGTTTAAGAGGAAAGGCAATGCCTAAGAGATTGGAGGGATGGGCGTTTGATCGTCCCAGGGACACACCTGGTGGAAAGAGAAAATTGACTGGACGAATGGATGCAGACTGGTTTCTCTGACAGATCCTATTCCTGTCTGACAGTCAGCCCGCTCGTGGCCACTGTAGTGCCCCCCTCTTTATGCCCTTTCCCACTTGTGTCCATGTTCCTGTCAGATATTTCTCCAAATTTCTACTCCCTAGCACTCTGTGCACTGCGTTCCGATTTCTTTGAAGATTTCTGGGCTGTCAATGATGGCGAGTAGTTCGTGGGGTTGTTTCCCGTTCTCCGTGACTCAACAGACGATGGTCCTGGGGGTGTGAGACCATGTCAGCAAGAAGTGACACACGAGGTCACCAAGGAAAACCACAAATATTATCTCAGTAGCTAAGTCTTCCAGTGGTCAGAATTCCCCTTTGCGGTTAAAAATCAGTTCTTTCTGCCATGCCAGAAACCAAGGCATCAGAGAATGTTCCTTACTGCCCGACATTAGCACTACTGCACCCTCGAAAGACCCCCAGCCTCATTATAATATCATTTGCATTGCCACTTCGACTCCCATCTCCTTGTGGGTGTGTCAAAAGGATCATGGTAAGAACTACTTTAAGGGGGAATCTGTTCCACTGTGATCTGGGAGGGGGCAAATGTTACTTTACCTCAGAACACCTGGTCTACCTCCTAAGTATTCATTAGAAAGAAGTCTTTAAAATCCAGAGCACAAAATCTAGTGAGCAGTTGTTCCCTGCTCTGGGGAACCCCTCTCCAATGCTGCTTTGCAGTGTAGATCTCTTTCCTAAACAAGCTCCTGGTGGACTGTCCGTGGCTCTTGGCTGAATCTTCCTTGAGAAGATGAGATTCAAAGAGAACCCTCTGCTTGGTAACAGACGGTGTTTAGGTTTGCTGGCAGTTGACTGTGGGATCCTCAGGATTGCTGAAACAGGACAGCAGTTTTAGTGACCATCCCTCACCCCCAAACTAGGAGAGAACACAGGCTCTTTTTCTATCACTTAAAGCATATTCCAGGGCTCTGCCATCTCCTACTCCAAACCCACTTGGCTCTATCTGGGTGGCTACAGCCCAGCTCTTTCCCATCCTTGGATTTCTGCCTGGAGTTTTGTCTGAATCCAGGAGGGGTCTTCTGTTACCTGGATCCTAGCTTCGCCTCTGGCCTTCATTCACCACCTCCACCTCACTACCTCGGGGGTCCTTGCTCTATAATCTGTAGCCTGTATTGCCCAAGGGCATTCAGAGAATCTCCCAGACCCTATGATGTGTATGCAGCTGCCTGCTTGCTGAGGAGAGCTGCTCTGAAGGGGAGGCACAGATAAGCCTCTTGACTCAACTCCTAGTCCACTCAGCTCCTAGTGAAGGTGCCCTAAAAGTCGCACTACAAAACAGAGCTTCATATGTTAAATCAACATGATGCATAGAGAAGATACTAAATATTAAAGTGACATATATTTTCCCCTCCTGCCCAGGAGGAGCAGGACAGTGCAACTGGTCTTGAGACTCAGTCCTTTTTGAGTCTTAGCTGTTACCTTGTTTTCTGCCGACTTGGCAGGGCTGGCATGTGGTTAGCATCACTGAGGGGTGTGTGGGGCGAGGCACGGCTCACACATCTTATCTTTCTCCTTCTGTGTAGCCTCATACCTGGCTAAGCCTTGAAATTTCCAGTTTACCTGGGACAGGTCCAGGTGAGTGACAGAGCTTTGAGCCGGAGCCAGGTCAGACTCGAAGTCTTTGCCTTCCAAATCCCTCCAGACGAAAGCAGTCTGACAGATGGAAAGGGTCCTGCTGCGTTGTCTAAACCAAGTCGACCCCTGGATTTGATGTCAATCTTTGTCTAGGTCCTGGGTCTCAGCTTGCTCTACACCCCCGGTGTGGGGGTGAGGGTGCTGTGTCTATTAGGGTGACTGAGTTCCCCTGTGAGCTAAAAACTTCTTTACTGGAGCACAGGTAATGGAGCTTTAAGGAACTAGGTCCCAGCCATCAGCAAGCTCTTCTCAGCCCCACACAGTGCACCAAAGGCCAGGCGGAGCAGGTAACAGCCTCACACAAGCACCAGTTTGCTCAGTGATTACAGTTACTGAATGCTCACTCTTACCCAGATTTTGGAGTGCCACTTCCCATCTCTTTTGTTAAACAGTCTGCTAGTACTTGTCTTTGTCTTTTCTGTAGTTGGGGACTGTGGTAGGAGCTCATACTTAACATAAAATGTGACAAAGTATTTCACAGTGATGCGTATAGCTGTCTTGTGTGGGTTCCTTGTGAGATTTTGTTTTTTTTTTTAAGTGTTATGAATTGAGCCTGAGACCGGGCACATGCTAGGCATAGCCTGTACCGCTAAGTTGCACCCCCCAGCAACTTGCTAGCTGACCCGCCATGGTAGAAGTATTTACACCAGGGAAATTGGCAAACAGTATTGCCAGGAGCAGAAGCCCTGAGTGAAAGTGTAAGGACTGGGTGTAAGTTGTTGACATGAGCAAAGCCATATCAAGGATCACAATGTCTCAGACCCATGGGAATTGGGAGAGCCTTCCTCTGGTCCTTCTGTGAACCACGACAGAGCATACAGAAAGTACGAAGGGCAGCTTCCCTCTCCCAGACCTTTACAGCCTGAGACTTTCCCCTGCAGAGACCTCCTATCTTGCTGTGCTTAATAAGTGTGCTGAGTTTACAGGTTGCAAGCTGGTTCATCTCGGAGCCAGCATCCCAGCTTTTCTATTCATGTCTGTGTTCATTCTTCAATGTATGCTTCATTCCCTTCTTGCCCCAGTAAAGTTTCCAGGGCACAGCTGTGCAGGATGCAGTGCACGCCCTACATCTGGGTCTTCCCTTCCTCCTCCCTTCTCGATCCAGCTTACCCATGCACCATTGCTGCTGGCTCAGAATGGAACAGCCTGGGAAGGACTGCAGCTGGTTATTTCCCTGGATATTTATTTTTTAAATCTTGTGTTTTGTCAGTGAGTGATTCATAATGGAACAAGAAGAGATAACCACATTAAAACCGAAGCAGTTCTTCATAAAGGGAAGGATTTTGTGAGAGACACCCTGTCTGGTGGTGCAAGCCTGTAATCCCAGATATCTGTGAGGCTGAGGCAGGAAGATCTTAGGACGAAGACCTGACTAAGTCTTAGTGAACTGAAGCCCACCCTGGGCAACTTAGTGAAGCCGTGCTGTAAAATAACCGAGTAAAAAGAGGGCTGGGGCCATGACTCAGTGAGACAGCTTACCGGGCATGTGTGAAGCCCCAGGTTCCATCCTTGGTATGATATAAGATCCTTGTGGTGGGAGTTCTATCAGCCTCAGAAAGAGACATCAATGCCCAGGTACTGTGACGATTCTGTTGGTGCTTGCCTGGGATACAACAAATGAGAAACAACCGTGAGAATTCCACCACACTGCTGCTGATGCTTGGCTAAGAACCGTCCCCTCTGGCTTTCCTAAGACTCAGCCACATAGGAAGGAGGTTTGCCTGGCCTGGAGCAGTTACCACTCTATTCTCTTTCCCATCCTAGCACACAAAAGTCACCACCTTGCCGTATGGTGAAATACCTGTGGAAGAATGATAAACAGCTGGGGTTAAGCCCTCTGCATCTTCAGGCCTTGTTGCTTAAGGGCCGTTGTGCCATCGCTTGAGAACAAAGCGAACCTCTGCAGTGAAATGAGGGCATCTGAGATCCTTTTCCCTTTAGCGGCATAAAGTTGTAAGCAGCCCATTGCGCAAAAGGCATTGATGTGGAAAGAGGACCGCCCCCGTCTCCATCACATTCTCCTATGAAGAAACGAGGCATTCTTCTCAGCTGCCATTCTCAGCTCACGATCCTCCTAGGAACCTCTCTTAAGAAGAGGGAGGGGCAGGTTCCTTTTGAGACCTGCAAGAAGACCCCGAGGTGACTCCTGAGTTGGGTCTAAATGGCTGGGAGGAAGGGGAGACATCGAGCTGTATCCTCTCTACCTCCTTGGCATGAAAGGGAGGGCAGGTGATGGAACAAGTCACAGAGAGAGGCCAAGCAGCCACCAGAGCAACCATTAGCTCCGGGGCCCTTGTCAGCCAGGGCAGGAATGTAGTTTTGGAATAAACATAGAAACCTCAGGTCCCCTCACTATGGTGACACAGCCAACAATCAAAATGGCCTTCCAGGGTACTCCTCAGACATCCTTATTCACAGATACGTTTATTTTATGAACAAGTCCAGCTGGGTGCAGTAGCATCTGTGATTCTTGTACTCAGACGGCTGGGATAAACAAATCCTGAGTTTGAGGCCAACCTAGGCTACATAATGAGTTCTGGGCCTGCCTGGGCTATGCAGATTGAGACCTTGTTTGAAGAAATCAACAAACAAAACAAATAAACAAAAATGAGTTCTCATCAATACATAAATGATAAAGAAATATATTTATAATGAAAATTAATCATTTAATTGGCTAGAATTGGAGGATGCTACATTAGGTGAAATAAACCAGATATGTAAGATAAGCAATGCATGATCTTATTCATTTGTGGAACCTTAAAAAGTTGACTCAGGCCTAGTGAGGTGGCTCAGCAGATTAATATGTTTGTCACCAAACCTGAAGACCTGAGTTCTGTCTTTGGGTGACCTTGCCTCATGGAGAGAACTGACTCCCACAGATTATCCTCTAACCTCCCTTAAGTGCTTTGGCAAGTGAATGACCACACACACACACACACACACACACACACACGCACACACACGCACACACACGCACACACACACGCACACACACACATACACACTTGTATCTCATAAAAAAACAAAGTTTATTCATGGATGTATAAAGACTAGATAGTTGTAGTTATTTTCCTCTCATGGCTTGGCCAAGTTATTTATTATACAAGACTTAAAGTAGCTAGGATAGGATAATTATTGAATATATTTGTTCTTATTGTATATAATTTTGTCTTAGGCTTAGAACTCTCTTATTTAAACAAAAGGGGAGGTGCTGTTGGAAGTCTTACAGCCAGTGGTTACCTGCCCACTGGGGCGTGGCCTCTTATACTATATATGCTGATGCAGAGCCTGCAGCCAGTCTCTTTTAATGCCTCTCTATTCCGGTTGTGGATTTCGGTTTCTGATCTCCATTCCAGCAGAGGATTTTGACTTGTGAGTCTACCCCTAAATAAATAACCATCTATTTCTCAGTTCTGAGCTAATGTGGGATTTCTTTTAAGCATACTTCTTCATATAATAGTGCTGTGATATCTAGGGAGGGACAGCAGGTCACAGGTCCACATCAGTTTCAAATGACACCCGGGCATCATCTACCCGATGAGATGACTTGGGTTCTGAGATCGTGTTGAGGGACAAGGAGTAGGTATCTCTTACTTCCTCGGCTGCTTTTCTAGAAAATACAAAACATCTAGAGCACCCGGGCTTCAACCTTGAGCCTTCAGCTCCGTTGATTTGATGGACATGCATCAGGGAGAATGTCTGGTTGAAGCGTTCCCTACAATTTTTCCTCTGGATTCATCTTAATCCCTCTCTTGCATCCAAATTGCTCCTGGAATGACTCTTGGCATGTGATCTGATGCTTGAATCTCAGAGTGGGCTATGAAGGGGGAGAGACAAAGGGAGGGACGGGGGAGGAAGGGAGGGAGGGACTTCAAATATGAAACAACTTCTGGCCTGCCAGATGAAAAAGAGCTAAGTGATCTCTTGAGAGCGGAGGCCAGAGGTCAGCCCCTGAAGAGCCTTGGATGCCGTTCAATGAGTGTCATTGCTGGTCAGGTGGCGGCAGAGAGTCTTAAAGGAATTCTGAGTTGGAGAACAACATGCTCACGCTTAACATTTTCAAAAGTCTCCAGTTGTAGATCCCAGCTTGTGGGTGTGGAACACACACTTTAAGGACAGTGGCTTTCCTAACTGAGCATTTTGGAGAGAGGATTCCCAGGGCTGCTCATCTGAGAGGGATTGCCATGGAGTCTCCCATGAGGCATCTGTAAAGATCCTGGCAGAGGCTGCAGCATCGGAAGGCCTGACATGGGCTGAGGCCATTTTTAAGCAGCTTACTCTCATAGTGTTCAAGTAAGCGACTGTCATTGCTCAGTAGCCTACCTGAACAAGGACCCAGGTATTGTCTCTCAACCATGAGGCAGCTACTTTCAGGGACAGTCATCCATGTTTTTGTGGGCAAAGCCACACCTTTTAAATGGCTGTATACTTTAAATGGCTGTTAACATTCCTTCAAAGCTGGGGTTTGTTTGTTCCAGGTAAGGCCCTGCCGAGACACAAGGAACCAGAGTCATCCTGGTTTCTTCTTCTTAGGTGGCCTAGAGCGCTCTACGCTGGTTATCACACTAAATTCTCCGTGCACAGCCTTGTGTTTACACAAAAAAAAAATATGGCAGGCTACGGTGGTGCACACCTTTGATCCCAGCACTCAGGAGGCAGAGGCAGAGGCAGGTGGAACTCTTTCAGTTTGAGGACAGCCTGACCTACATAGTAAGTTCTAGACCAGGCAATGTTACCAAAACAAAATTTTATTTTGTTTTTAAAGCTATATATAAAGACACATGGCCTGAACAAACTATGCTCAGCAATGTGCCTGCTTCACCATGTAAAGACTAGTCTGTCTCTTCTATGTGAACACAGAAATGTCCCCAATCAAAGTCCCTTGCTTTTTGTTTGAGGAGGTATTACCTTTGAGTATAAACTCTGAAGCTGGGCATGGTGCTGAATGCCTTTAATCCAGCGGTTCTCAATCTTCCCAATGCTGCGACCCTTTAACAGAGCTCCTCATGTTGTGGTGACCCCCCAACCATAAAACCATTCTCATTGCCACTTCAAATTGTAATTTTGCTACTGTTACAGCTTTTAATGTAAGCATCTGTTTTCTGATGTTGTTAGGTGACCCCTGTGAAAAGGTCACTCGACCCCCCCAAAGAGTAACCCCAAAATTGTTGAGGCCGGTGGGTTATGAACTACTGTTTTAATATCAGCACTCAGGAGGCAGAGGCAGACAGATGTCTGAGAGTTCAAGGCTAGATTGGTCTCATAGTGAGTTGCAGGACAGCAGGGGCTATGTGGAGGGACCCTGGCTCAAAAAATAAAAATAAAAAAGCAAAACAAAAACTAATAATCTGTAGTACACCCTTCTCATTCCGGACTCTTTATTGTGTTTTGCCTCTTAGCATTCACTAATAGGAGTCCCCGTTACATTCGTTATAGCCACTTGAGTGTCACCGTGACTAGCTGTACCCAAGGCAGATGATCTTGGGCAAAGTGAAAGTGGCAGCATGGTTGGCAACCTGACCTCCTCTTAGTCACATTGTGTGTACTAAAAAAAGGACATTAAATTTGGCCCACATGCAAGAGCAAAGTGGTTAGACTCAACCTTTCAATAGTTGGATCGATGAAGTGGTTGGTGTAACTTAGACCTTTCTTCACCAAAGTGTGAGAATAAGAGATTGCACGTGTGTGTGTGTGTGTGTGTGTGTGTGTGAGAGAGAGAGAGAGAGAGAGAGAGAGAGAGAGAGAGACAGACAGACAGACAGACAGACAGAGAGAGACAGAGAGACAGACAGAGATCGAGGTTGTAATTTAATTCAAGTGCTGCAGCTCACAGGATTTGGAAACCTACAATTTATCTAAGCTGGGCAATACGGAAAAGAGGCCATCAGAAGAGGAAGAGTGCGGTCAGAACCGAACCTATACTATGCGTGTAGTGTGGGGCACAGTGGTTCTGTGTTCGGATCAGAGAGCTGCAAGCAAGCATACACGCTGTGTTTGTAGAGGAGATGGCCTTGAAAAGGGGGTCATAGAGAGTGTCCCCAGTATTCAGCTGTGGGGAGGGCACTTACAAATGCTTTCAGACAAGGTCCTTGTGCAGCAGGTGACCGTGTCTTTTGTGGTTACTGTCCACGTGATAACCTCCGGCAGAATGAACTGTTTGGTTGCAGGCTCAGTGGCTTCACTTCCTTGCCTCAGTTCCTCCTTCTGAAAACAAGGCCTAAATCTACCCTCCTCAGATAGATAATGGTCCCACATATGTCGCACAGCTCATAGGATTTAATAAGCGCCTCATGAGGGGTGGTTCTTGACTTTAACAAATGACCCCCTTGACTAGAATTTAGAGTGTGGGAGAAGAGCGGGGAGACAAGTGTTTACTGAACAGGCTGTGAGGACTTCGAAGGATTTTGAGCTGGAAAGGCCACAGACCTATCAGAGAATCCTAATGATGTATTGGAGGCTTGTGTGTGGAAACCCAGTGGCTCTGGCAGTCCTCAGAGGACCACGGTGCCCTGCTCTGTTTGGACTTGGGCTTTCTTTCTGCAGGCATCTTGAAGCCAGTGTGCTGTAGGGAGAAAACGATGGCATGCCCACTGTTTTCTTCCATGGTTGTGGCCAAAGCCATCTGCAGTGAGCGATCATGGGTAAGAGAGCCAACGCGCTGCTCTCTGCGGGGCAGCCTTCTCAAAGGGGCCTGTTCCTGATCTGATCTTTCCTGCCAGCTGCCAGTGGGACCATCTAGGAGAGATACAGATTTCTAATTTGAGTGTATCATGGCTGTCTCACTCAGATGAAAGGATGGTCCCTCATCATGAGGTAGTGCCATAGGTAGGCTGACAACGAGCTAACAAGATGAACCTCACTAGGTGCTGTCTTGTCCTTGAGTGGAATGTTAAGCAGGGATGTGTGCATATTTTCCTGATAGGACTTTCTGTCATGATACACCTTGCTACGGTACGTTCTAGCCAAGATCATGGGCTAGGCAATGAGTAATCACCTGTGCTTTGCAGCTCTCAGCAAAGCCATCTTGCCCAGAGACTACAAGTTCCAGCATCCATTGCATATAGCCCTCAGGATATAGCGTCTGTTGAAAGGAAAACCCTAGAGGCTCTCCCTGCCTCCCC